TAGTAATAGGTTTTAGAAAACAGCTAGCTAATTGTAATTCTAAAAATTCTGTGATATGATGGGTGATACAAAGTCACTCAGACTATGTAAAAACTGTGATAGAAAGCAGGATGCTATAAGGAAGATCAAAGACAAGAGATGATTATCCATGAATAAACTGTTGCTCCAGAATAACAGCTTTCCTGAATAGGAACAGTAAACATTAAAACACTGCTGTTCAAAAAAAAAAAAAAGCATTAAAAAACTTACCTTCCTGCCATTCACAAAAAAGACAAGCTCATCTGAATGTTGGGGGCAAGCCATGCTGTTGCATTAAAGTCTGAAAAATAAAGCTTTACGCATCAAGAGAAATTAATGAAATGCTATATGCTCATAAAGGTCACCTGAGTTTGCTTTGTCCCACAGAATTTATTTTCAGACTGAGCATCAAATTAGGTAGATGGGGAGCAGCCAGTGTAACATATTGACATTTCCCAGCAATGTCTGGCTGCTAATGCATCAAACTTTCTACTCCTACTCTCCACCTTAACTCTTCTCTGGTGAGCTGAAATAATCTGGAAAGAATTTGAGCCCCTCTAATTCTAACCCTGTAACCTAAGAGATAAGGCACTTAACTATGAGGGAGAACTTCTGGGTTTGAGCTACAACTGCCAGGCGTGGGTTTTGGGTTGTTTTGTTTTGTTTTTATATTATCCAGTAACTGATGAATTCAGAATATATAGGAATGCCTGAAGCTAGAACCCAGGACATGCAACATTACCTACTTCTGTAGGGTGTCAAACACTAAGCCGTGGAGCCATGTTTCTCATTTTAGCTTGTCACTGACCTGAACTATCTGTATTTTTTTTCTGCAGAGTAACCACATTTTAACAAAATCAAAATTACTACTACATACACATTTAAAATTTCTTTCTAGGTATCTCTTTGCCATGCCAGCTCTATACCCTGACTGCTGTGGGTGCCATAAGATGACCATACCATATGTACCAGGGTTTTAGAGAGGGAAATCCCAAATCCTGATTTGGGATCTTAGATTCTTATGCATTTCTCTGGTTGTGCATCCAGGAAACAAAGTCATTAATCTCTAAATGCTTTGTTACAGCTGGCCTTCATTTTTTTTTTAAAAGAGGACTTACGTATATGTCTTTCAAAAGTCTCCATTTGTGTACATACATGTCTTTTGTTTAATTTACTGTTTTTATATTTTACAACAAAGGTCACTGTGTTTCATTTAGAGACAGTGTAGGCTTGCAGCACAAAGTAGTCAGTCCCAGATCTTTTACCACTCCCCATTAGAAGGAAAGAAAATGATTCTCAGGAGAGATAGGCTGCTTCATGAGGACAGGCTGAGGGAGTTGGGATTGTTCAGCCTGGAGAAAAGGCGGCTCCGGGGAGATCTAACTGCAGCTTACCAGTTTCTGAAGGGGGCCTACAGGAAAGATGGTGAGGGACTGTTTATGAGGGAGTGTAGTGACAGGACAAGGGGTAATGGGTTCAAGCTGAAGGAGGGTCGATTTAGATGAGATATTAGAAAGAAATTCTTTACTGTTAGAGTGGTGAGGCACTGGCACAGGTTGCCCAGAGAGGTTGTGGAGGCCCCATCCTGGAAGTGTTTAAGACCAGGTTGGATGAGGCTTTGGGCAACGTGGTGTAGTGGAGGGTGTCCCTGCCCGTAGCAGGGGGGTTGGAACTAGATGATCTTTGAGGTCCCTTCCAACCCTAACCATTCTATGATTCTATGATTCTTTTGTGTTTTAGCCCCTAATGTATGCCTGAGAGCTACCACAATGCGACCGCTGAAGCCATGCCAGTTACTAGGTCCTGCAGGCAAAAGCCCCAATGGGTCCTGCCAACTGCAGCACTGCTGTAGTATTCCACATGGGTTGCAGGTACAACAGTGCAGGTTCAAAGGCCTAAGAAGAGAAAGAACCAGACCCAATACTAGATTTTGGCAGTCCAATATCTAATCTTCAGAGTACCAGGCCTCCAAACCAAAACATAGTATTTATGTTAGGTGTGGAAGCTTACACACAGAATTAATGGGAGTGCTGAGGGCAGATAGTTATAGAAACACTTTTCATGAAGAAAATGAGTAGAAAAAGTTCTTCTCAACCATGTCCAGTTTGGGTGTTTCTGTACAGTGTACATTAATGTGTCAATACCCATCCAACACATTAATGCCTTAAAGCTCTAACCTTTCTGCTTATCTAGCCCCCTGAGTCTGCATATTTTAAACAATACTAAAAATGTAACAAAACCCCCCTCTTAACACCTATAAAGCCTAAGAAAATTTCTTTCATAATATCCCATGTAGCCATAGTGTCATCCATCAGGATGTTTAATTGCTGATATTTCTACTTTCATGCTGTTTTTCAAACACCTAAAAGCCAGGAGACAGCTTCATATGTTTCAGCCCCAAAAAAACCCAGCAACCCATGTTTGATGTGTATAGATTCTACTGAGACAATCAGACAACAGTGCCACTTGTAAAGCGGCAGGGAGGAATCTTGGTTAATAATAACTGAGAAATACTGACAAGCTGACATGTGATCTGCACTGCAGAAAACAAAGTGAAGGTCTAGAACACGATGAATCCCTGGAGTACAAACACCTCAGCACTGCAGGTGGGGAGATGACATTGCCTGCAAGGGTTGGGCCACTATTTTTACAAGATTTGACCTGTCTGGAACTAACCAGCACCAGTGCTGATGCATAGGCACACAAGAGAACAACAGATAATGCACCTTTCTCCAGTTCAATAGATGTATATGCTCCCTGCTTCAGCATATCCCAGAATTTACCCACATTTTTAGGGCTGTTATTGACACATGGGGTTGTGAGCTGTCATTAACAAGCTCAGGCAGTGAAACTAAGAAGATGTTGCAAGTCAGAAAAAGTAATTATGGCACGAGCATTCACATTTAATTTGATTTATTGACTTTCTTACAATATATAAAAGCCAAAGTAATACAAAGTGAAGAAAAAGAAGTTAAAATCAATGGGGCTTTAGCTGCCTAAACTACACTTCTAGTGCCACTTCAGATGATTTGCTATAACCTGCTTGGCCTCCAGTTGCTATGTCGTATCTTCCAGTCCTGTGCTCTCCTATGTATCTGCTACCTTATGACATCTAAAATGGTCTAAACACCTATGTTTAAGCAGCTGAATTTCACCTACTCGTAGCAGTTACAGAGAGACAAACAAATTGAAACAGTAAAGATTTCATATCTTAATAGCCAATGCAAAACCAGTTTAACCTACTAACCTGATTTCTGTCACAGATACATTATCAACTCATAACAGGGACGGAAGGCAGGAAGAGAAAATAGTCTGTGGAAAACTGAGAGGCAGTAAAATAATAAGAACCTGCAGGCTGACATGTCAAACAAATTAGAGCCATTTAATTTCATTATAAATGACAGTCTTCATGTCTCTGGAGTAATCTGACCTATGAGTAACTTGAAGAGCAATCACCACTCTCATCAAGGAATAACTGATTCAGAGGTTCACTGAAAACACACCTGGAACATACAAACTATCTATTTTCCCAGATCTACTTTCTTATCAAAGAACCTGCTGCAATTTTTCAGGTGCTCCTTCAAGTAACTTCTGTAGACTTACTAAAAAAGTGAAGTGTTTTTTCTCTATTAGGATGTATCCCAGATCAAAGCCCCAAATTCAAATACCATGGAGATTTGTGTATTTGTGTGTGTGTGCATTCAGAACTGAAATCTCAGCTTTGCACTTCAAGATGAGGAAAGGCTGAAGTTCTCAGTCAGTTCAATATTGTGGATTCTGATGCTGAAATCTGAATATTGTGGCTGAAGATTTCATAATATATTAGCTTTGATATATTCCATGTAATTTCTTGGTCTCATCTTAGGTTACAAATATACACATACTTCAAATTTAATAACACCAGAATTTCTGTTACCATTTAATACAGTGCTGCTTTATATTTTCCTGTTTTCTCCAGCTGTTAGTGCTTGGGAGTGGTCTAATCCCACTGCACCCTAGGCAGCATCAGATGACTGACCTTGGCAGATCATTTTGATCTCATTACATTTTTCCTTTCTTCTTTATTACAGGAGTGGACAAGAGTGGGAAAAAGTTCTTAAGTGTACTTTCATGGCTCAATATAGTCCTGAGCAGAGGATTAAGCACTGCTTAAGAATCCTTTCCAGAGACAGGTTCATCCAGTGTCCTATTCAAAGCACACTGAACTCCATATGAGTCTTCCCATTAAGTTCAGAGGCTTTTGGCTTGCTCCATGAGAAAAAGAAAGCTTCTGGGGGAAATTACAACTGAGTCACTCTTCCAACTTTTGGGATAAAATTCATCTCCTATATATATAGGTCAGCCACAGAAATTTGCCTAGCACAGCAAAAGAAAATCATAAATCTTGTTTCTTGCATGCTTTTAACACAGATGTCTGTGCCAAAAGAATCTAAAGCAGCTTTACTACAAATCAGAGCATTACTTCTGATCAAAAAGGGACTGAATCCAACAAAACAAGATTCTGATTCTTCAACAGAAAAAGATCCCTGCACTCACACTCCACTGTAAGACTCAAAACTAAACTAGAAAATTAGCCGAAGCCATTACAAAATCATTTATCATATGAAGTTGTAAAGTGTAATAAGTGGTAGTAAAGTATCTAACATACCTTTATACTTCATCTGAACTTTCTTCTCCACCATTTGAGCTGAGTTGTTCAGCACATATTTCTTGTTGAATATATATGCTTCAAATGCAGGAGATGTATTTCTAGCCATTAAATGCAGTAATTTAAGCAAAGCACTGTAATGAATATACTGGATAGAGAATGAAGGTAAGGATAGAAGATGTAATGTGCATATTTTTGGTACCTGATTCTATTCTGAAAATGAGAAAATGAGAAAATATATTTATCTGTGTCTTGATTAGTGTGTATTGGGGCAGTAAATCAGTTTTTCATTCCATTCCATTCTGTTCAGGTCTTGGGTACTCTGGTTTGTCACTCACACAGATATGGCCCAAGGAGTGGAGGAAGCAGATTCATCGTTTGTCATCTAAGAGAACAAGCAAGAAACGAAGACAGTGACTTGTTAATATTATTTGACTGGCAAGCTCCCATTATTGCCCTTATCAGGTGCCTCCAAATCGCTCAGCAGGGTGCTCTACAGGAGATAGCTATGGAAGATGGCTGGAAGGAAGGTCAGTGATAACTGGGGTCAGGGACAAACAGGGGTGGAGAAGCATGGTCTTTGCACTGGTGGACCTCACCTCCCACAGGCTCCTGCAATGACAGTAAGCCCATGAACCTATTGATTTGGAAGCCAATGATGCCCCAACGTGACCACAGAAATACTATGGGGCTAGTCTGCGAGTAAGAGCTCAAGAATTTCCATGGCAGAGCCCCAGAGGTTCAGGGCACAGTACGGATTTATATCCTGGCAAGGACCTTATTTCACAAATGCTGTAAACTAAATAAAAACTTAACAGGAGAAAAAAGTAATAGTAGTGGGAACACGACTACAATGAACAGTTGCAGAAAACATGGAATATAAAGGATCAGCATTGTAAGAAGTGTATTGCCTCATTTATTTTTCTTCTGTATCCTTTTGTTAGCTCTGAGTTAATTATTTTTCTCCCAAAGAGTACTGGGCATAGCAAAGAGTACCAGAATGAGGTGACAGTGTCAGAGTACAAGTCACTGGGGGAAAACACCTGGAAGGAGACTGAAGATGCTTGGAGGCTGATCTAGTATCCACTGCATGTCGGTAAGAGGAGCTATTTAATCCTCTGTGGGATTTGACATACAGAAGAAAGGAGGGAGCTTCAGAGAAAGAAGAGATTGTAAAAATTATGTAAATTTCAAAGGAAAAAAAAGGATTATACAAAAATCAGGGAAATTCCAATACAACACTTGAATAGCATTTGTTGGAATAACTTGCATGAGTGAGACTTGTTACCAGACATTTCAATTACAAGCCCTCCCTCCCTTCAAAGGAGGGAGCCATATGATATTGCTATATACAAAGCATGACCAGTTGGAGACATCATTAGGCATCCCACCATTCAAGGGTGTGAAAAGCAGCATGCACTTCTACCCAGACACTTCAACAGACCCTTCCCCCATCTTCCTATTACCATCTCAGTAAAGTCATCCGCGCAGCCTGCCCGTATTTGTTCAGCGGTCAGAGGGCTGTTCAGTGCAAAGGTCTTTTTCAGTCCTCTCTCATTCCTCACGCTAGTTATTGCATCTCTCAAAGCGAAGAACACAGAGCATCCCAAGAAAAATCCTGCCTCACCTATCCCCTGGGGGGAAAAAAAAAGTTAAATAGGTGTAGGTTTTGAGCAAATGAGAGGAGTACATGCCATACCAATATCAAGTAAAAAGCTTAAAAATCAGTGACTCAAAAAGTGTTTTGTCCTTCAGTAAGGAAGTTTCTCTTAGATTTAGTGGAAACAGGCTTAGATCACACCAAGTCTTCTGATGGTACCTGCTTCCAGGGAGCTAAAAATGTTGATTTCAAATATTGGCTATTAATTTTATTTATTATTTTATTATTTATCTCCTCGCTAAAGGTCTGAGAACCAAATGTCTTCCCCAAACATGCTGCATGAAGACAGAATCACACCTTCTTACAGTGAATTTTAGGGTTAATTACAGGGAATAAGTTCACAGAAAAGGATAAAAGCTCTGTTTGAAGAAGGATATTAGGATCAGCTCTCTAGATCAGCTCCAAATCAACTATGTAACTACTTCACCTGGATAATATTTTTTGAAACAAATACTTTTCTAATTATGTTTCAATGAGACAGCTTTAAATAATTTTAAAAGACTTATTTGTTCTTTAATAATCTTTGCCTTAAAATATGCTTTTTCCTTCTGTCATGCTATTTTACTGTATTCTAAAAGCACACCTAATACTTGAAATAGCTAAAATTTGCAGAATTACCTTAATCTTGATTTACCATTACTACTTACATGTAACTGGTTAGAATATTTGCTGGTGTCAATTGAAGCAATGATTATACCAACTGAATACTTGAGCCAGTTTCTCATATACATACACACATACAGTCCTATTTCTTATTGCATAACACACATAAGTAAGCTGCACACACTCATTGTCAATATGTTTTCTCTATCAATTTCTCTGCTGTCTTTATTCTAACCCTTTAGTTTATCATCACATTTTAAAAGTATGGTTTTAAATTCAGCTTGCAGCTTCTGTGTATGGTCTGTTAACAAAACCCTAAAATTACTACTTGCCAGCCCGGAAAGATATACAGCAATATCCCACATTATATCTTTTCATATTAGCTTCCCTGATGTCATAAATAAAATAATTTTTTGTATACTTATTTGAAATGCTAAAGAAGAGGAATTGAAAACTTAGATATCTTTTATATCAGAGTAATTTCTCTGATTGTCGTGGGATCTAAGAATCAGGCCGTGTGATGGTTTGCTTACCTTGGATGCATAGATGGCATAAGGATTTTGGGAAGATGACAGCAGGGAAACACTAAACTGTTCTGGAATATCACAAACAGCAGGTATCTTATACTGATCTGGACCCCGAGTATAGAGGACTCCTTCTGGAGAGTACTTTAATTCCTCCATTGTGTACAGTCCAATGCCTTGAACAAAGGCACCTTCAATCTTTAAATAAGAAAAGAAATAGCATTTATGTTCTCATGTTTGATAAAATGGGTAAAACTTTGGCAAGAACTGATTTGTATCACTAGCCGTTAGAAGACCATTTTTTTTCCTGTTTGCCTAATGGGATTCTTCAACATTTTGGGGCTACTGTGATGGGAAAAGCTTTCACACTCCTCTCCTACCAGGCAGACAAATGCTTTCACAATGAAGTGATGAGATCTGTGGACCAGCCTTCAATGACGAAAGGTGTTTCCCTGCTATCAAGTGGGGAAGGCAGGTCAAACAACAGGAGAATTTGGAAACTGTAGATCACAAACAGGATTTAATTCCAGCAGATAGTGGGGCATCTATACATACAGGAAGTACTACAGGTTGACAGTGGGATAAAATTCAAGCTTCATTGATATCTACAAAGCTCTGACACTGATTCAAATGGGGCAAGTCTACAAGGAAAGGACTTTCTAATATGATCTATGACTTACAACGTTATCTAGTAAGAAATTAGGGTTTTCTGAATTAATGCGGTAATCTTCACTTCAGATAAGACTATCCGTGTAATAGAAATAAGATGGCAGAAAATTCTTGGTACATACCTGTCCTATATCCACAGCTGGATTTATGCTGCATCCAATGTCCATAACAATGTCTGTTCTGAGGTTCTGCCAATAAAATTCAAATGCATATTACTGAGAAAGATGCGTGGAGTGGAGGCATTAGAATATACTGTGGCTTAGAGTCAGTATTCAATGGAATACTATATACTAAGACAGAGGCCCCTCTCTGTACACAATTTCAGAGTAATTTCCAATACCCCATTACAAGCAAAATGGGCTTGTCTCAACTTTAACAGAATTTTAGCCAGAGACAGCCATGCCAGATTTTTCCCATTGCACAAGGAAATCCCCACGTAAATAAATACAGATAGAGGGCATATGATAAGCAGTCTATGACATTTAGCTGTCTAAATGATCAAAGGCCTGGAAATAAGACTATTCAGCTCTGCTGTAATTGGTTTGTTGGCAAACAAGGCGAGAACAAGCAAAGAACGTGTCAGATGTCTGCCATAACCCAAAAGGTGAACCCACATGGCATTAATACAGATGTGCCAAAAGCTGGTTAACACTGCACAGCTTTTATTCTGCTCCATCTGTAATTTGCATTTACACTGTTGATATATTTACTATCATATGAAGACAGGTGACATTAATGTAAAACCTGAACGGTTATTGGAGCACCCAGTGATACAAATCTCATTTACATCATTTACAAAACTTCCATGACACTCAGTTATTACCTTGTGATCTCCTGTTAGACAGTTAATTTCAACCTCTGAACAAGCAGCTCCATAAAGAAAATATGTGAATGGCTGTCCTTCCCCTTTCTCCCAATCCATATTTTCATTGTAACCTCTGATAGAGGAAACAAAGTCCACAAGAAGAAAATTAATGATTGCTTGCATCACAACAAATCAGATGAGCACATGAAAGTTTGAAACTAGTTCAAGTGAAATCTTAAATGATAGGTCAGAACCTCAGCAGTTAAGTTCTATGAAATCCTACAGAGCACTAGCAGTTTAGGTTTGATGGAGCTGGTATTTATACAACATTTAGCAGACAAGATATTTCAGTTCAGGAAAGTCTATAACCAGCATAATCCCAGAAATATACTAATAAAGACATGGTAATCAAGAACAGAATACAAATTCAAGGTAAAGGTTGCTGAGGTTGCACAGAAGGGAATTCAGAAAAAGGGAGGAAAACTGGTCTTATGAAAGAATAACTTACAAGAGCTAAATGAAAGAGTTAAAATTACAGAAACTGGCTACAGAATGAGAGGGTTAAAACAGGAATATTGAAATAAAGGTGTAAGGGAGTGGGACTAACTGAGGAGACTATAGTAGTCAGGACTGATGGGGTAAATTCAACGGACACAAGAGGACAGTGAAATGCAGTATCTCCCAACCATGTGAGCTATGTCACGAAGGCATATTTTTTGACCATATATGACTGAAATGTCTTTGTTGAACATATTTAAAATTATGCCCTGTAAACCAATTATAGTATAATTCAGGGCATTGAACTGTGTGTTGAAAAAGGGATATACAAAATCCACATATTCAGCTTCTCACATTCCATCTGCCTCAGCTGGCTTTTAGGTTCTTCGATGTGGAGAATATGACTGCGTAAGAACTAGATCAGTACAGGATTTGAGGCTCAGGGATCTGCAGATGGTTTTGGGCTCCATTAAATGTCAACAGCAAAGTATGACTGTTGTTCATTGCTTTGGAGATATCAACATTCCTAAAAGGCCGCATACTTGAACAGACTTAACAGCAGGAAGGGATATTGTTTGGTCTTTTCTCGGTGTTTTAAGTAAGTATGGGTTTGCAAAGTGCCTCTTCAACTTACTCCAGACGACATGAATATCTGAAAAGTTGATATTGATAAGTAGGTAAAAACAGGTGGAGAGAGAGAAGGCACAGCAGGCTGAGAGAGAAGCTTTGCTTGGAACCCCACCTGTGTTACAGCACAGAATTTTTTATTTTCTGGTTCTTTAGAAATACTGTGAAAGAACGCAAAGAAAAAGGACCACAAGACTGCACTGAGAGAGAGCAGTGGGAATTCTGTTTAAGATTACTGTGTCCTACAATAGCATGCTGTTGTGAATAAATCCATGTCTAAGAGTATATACGATGGGAATTTTTTGAGGCTCCAGAAGCAAAGAGGTCAAAACAGTGACTCTGAACCTAGGGTCAGTGAGCAACCCCACTTCTCATGTGAGCAGTAAGTCCCCCTCCAGCTTTCAATTGGTGCTGAATCATGGCATCCGATTCCTGAGTTAGTTTAAAAAAAAAACAAAAACAAAACCAACAAAAAACCAACCCACAAGCTTTCTTTTAAACTCAACGAGATGTTTTAAATTCTCCTTCCTCTAAAGAGAAATAACCTTAAGGTTCAGATCTAGAATTAAATAGGCCTAATTTTCCACAAGTGCACCAGCTTGCTAATTACAGGTGTGGTGTGTGCTGGATAAATATTCTAATGTTGCCACTCATTCTTCTTGTCATGGAACTCGGTGTGATCGTATTTGTGGGTAAAAATGTAAATAATTTGTAGTACAACAATATTTATAGCTTATAGTAATACAGCTTCCAGTAAATAAACTATATCCCACTTTGCATACCTACTGTTATGGGTAGCAGTCACTTTCTTGATGCTTTCTGGTTTGCTAATGGCCAAATCATGGAGCAAAGATGGGATGAAATATTCTTTTGGTATTTTCTAGAGGGTCCACACAGGGCTTGACATAAATTAGCACTTACTCTTTATACTCCAACCATCCATATATCAAAGAATTACATAAAACATAAGCTGAGCTATTAGAAAGAACTATTGGAGACAGGATCTTCTACTCATGGCATACCTTATCTTCAGAAATCAGTCCTGGTCTAGCCTATGCATTTCTAAAGAACAAAAATATATTACCTAAAGTAGCCAGTAGCTGAAAGACTCACACTCTGTTCAAAAGCCTCTTTAACCTGTAAAATATAGCAGTGTTTGTGGTAAACCAAGGAAGGAATCAGGAAGGAACACAGCAGACATAGTCAATATTTCAATAGAAATGGGTCCCTCTTTGTCAATTGAACAGATCTAGTCGATAAGTCACTGAGATAAAAGATCTGCATGACCTATTTGCACAAAAATGATAGTTGACAAGATAAATGCTCTTTGCAGTGTTCTTCTGCCAGTGGTAAAAATGACAGGATGAAGTCCTAAATCTATTCCCTTTCAGTGATTCTCATGTTAGATTTACTCAATTTACAAGTCAAAAAGTATTTTTATTTTGTTTATCATTAATTGTAATTTATTGAACTCGCAAGATGTAAAATTACTTCTCTGCATATATTAACATTCTTTCTTAGGTCAGCCATTTCTGCTAATATTTTGGGTGTGTCTCAATTATCCAGATTAATTTGGCACCCATTAGAGGAGAAGTGGATTTTATCTTTGCGTACATAGCTGTCAGTTATCAAGCTACCACATGTATTCCAACATTATTTGCTATTGCTAGGAACTACTACTGCCAAGAAAGTGTTTACATTTTTTGTAGTTATTATAGTATTTAATCACTTGAAAAGAAATACCCTAGCATACTGGATCTGTAAATGCCTCAAGGCAGGGACTGTCCTTTTCATTAGGCCACAGATAACAAGCAATACTGGATAAGAAGACATAACAAACAGGTTTTCTTTTAACATCTCAATATACAGGACTAGATTCTCAGCCATACCTTCTTAAAATAGTTGATATTAGAGCAGAAAGCTTTTAGTTAAAAAAAAATTCAGTTTCTAGCCCTAAAATTCTATTCTAGTTTCAAGTGCGGCCGGGACAGGGGCCATTTCTATAAATGGTTTTAGCACTACTTCTATACTACTCTACTGCAAATATAACTAATATAACTAATTACATATTAGAGCAGTGGGAGCAAGGATTCCTGCTACCCTTCTTGCAGTTCTATAATGTACTGCATATGTGAGAAGGATAGAAGGAAGAAGTTGAGAAGGATTCTCTTTATTGATTTGGTAAAAATAAAGAACTGACATGGAGGAAAACTGACCCTGTACACATATACCATGACAATCTTTTGTTGACAGCTTGTCTGAGGATAAGCTGTGGTGGGTCATGTTATTGCACAAACTGATATTTTTTGTATATTAAAAACTTCAGTGCCTCCAAATGTGACTTCACAGATAGCTTCCCCTCCTTTCCAACTAGATATGATCACAGAATCATAGAATGGTTAGGGTTGGAAGGGACCTCAAAGATCATCTAGTTCCAACCCCCTCTGCTGTGGGCAGGGACACCCTCCACTACACCACGTTGCCCAAAGCCTCATCCAACCTGGTCTTAAACACTTCCAGGGATGGGGCCTCCACACCTCTCTGGGCAACCTGTGCCAGTGCCTCACCACTCTAACAGTAAAGAATTTCTTTCTAATATCTCATCTAAAGCAACCCTCCTTCAGCTTGAACCCATTACCCCTGTCCTGTCACTATACTCCCCAATAAACAGTCCCTCACCAGCTTTCCTGTAGGCCCCCTTCAGAAACTGGTAAGCCGTAATTAGATCTCCCCGGAGCCGCCTTTTTTTCCAGGCTGAACAATCCCAACTCTCT